AGACACATGAAGAAATGCTCACGATCATTAGCCATTAGAGAAATGCATTATCTCAACTATAGTGAGATATCTCACCCCATCAAGGCTAGCATTAATCCAAAAAACACAGTAAATGCTGGAGAGGTTGTAGAGAGAATGGAACAATCATACCCTGTTGGTGGGAAAATAAAATGGTACAACCACTTTGGAAATCAATTTGGTGCTTCCTTAAAAAGCTAGAAATAGAGACTTCCGGGGAACGTGGTGCTATAGTCAGAAGCACCACGCCATCCCTCCGCAGCAAAGATCAGAAAAACTAAGTCAAACAGAGTCACACATCAATCCTGAAACCTTACGCATCAAATGAAGAGATAAAGAACTCAGCCAGGCGCCAAATGGAATAAGAAACTGACTGAGAACAGAGCAAGGAGAGAGACACGCAGAGGTCCCCTGACAGCTACCGCAGCACAGATCCACCATCTCGGACTCTTACTGGAGATCAGTGAACGGGGGTATGAGAAAGAAGCTTCACGGACCTTCCAGCAAGAGACAGAACAGCTGGTAGCCAGCGATATAGGCTTTTCCACCCTCCACCCTTCTTCACCCCCACTCGACCTCCTCTGCTTGCTGCAGCCACAGTCTCTTGGCCGGGAAGCACCCCGGTGTTGCTTGGATTCCACCCGCCCACAATGGCTGGCTCCCTGAGTGCCTTTTCTTGGCTGATGCTGTTGCTTTTTTCTGCTACTTTAGATTTCTTTTAGATTTCACCACCTCCCCCTGCTTTCTTTCAAATACCTGGCTCCATATGCCATCTTTACTTCTTCCTGAAAGGCTGTGAAACACCGCTTGACTGTGTAACTGCTTCCCGGCCGGTGATGCTATGCTGATAGAACCCCTGGGGCTTTTTTGTTTGTTTGCTCTGATTCGTTCTGTTTTGATTTGCTTGTTTATTTTCTTCTTCTTTTCTCAGCTTGGGAACGCCTTCTAGCTGGGCAGTACCACGCAGCTTGGAAGCTACTCCCTTACTCTGTGCATACGCACAAGGACTTCCCTGGGGGCATTTCGTTTTTCTTGTTTTTGGGGGTTTTTTTTGTTTGTTTGTTTCTTTGTTTTGTTTTCTTCTCTCTCTTATTCCCTTTTTGTCTTTGTTCATTTCCAGTTTCTCGATTTGTACATTTTTTTCTTTTACCCTTCTTCTTTTTTTTCCTCCTCATTTCTCAGTCTCTCATCTCTCCATTCCAATAGCAAGCTCCCTTAGCACTCTTTTTTGTTTGTGTGTATGTTTTTGGCTCCTGTTCCTCTCTCCTCTCTCTCATCTCTCCCATACCCATCTTAGCTCCACACATCACAGTCTACCCCCTCCTTCCTTCCTGCCTGCGTGCACCGTGTACTGAACATCACACTCCCAAGCAGCACAGGCACTGCCTACTGGAACCTGCCCTGCACTGATTCCTAGTCTGTACTGTCATCCCTGGTACGTGCCACAAACAACCCATCCCAGCAACTTCCCTTCAGCTGGACCTGCCCTGCTGTAGCATACCTGATTGACTGACCGTGCCCGTAAGCAGGACGAAACAAACAGGTCTACAATCAGTAAATGAGGAAAATAACCACTGAATGCCTGGAAAACAATAGGCAATATCAAAACATTTACAACAACAGGACAGGATGGCTTCAGGAGGCATCCACAACAAAACACCAGATGACCTTCCAGTGGAAGAAAAGGCACTAGACCTAACTGATAGGTCATTCAAATCTCTAATATTCAGAATTAAACAAGAGTTGAAGCAAAAAGCAGACAAAAATGAGAAAAAAATAGATAAATTCATGGAAAAGTCAGGCAAATTCATGAAAAATACAAAAAATTGGAAGAATTCAAGAAAATAATACAGGAACAAAATGCTAAAATAAATTCACAATTAGAAATCATACAAAAACAACAATTAGAAATCCAAAAGATAAACAAGATTTCAGAAATCAACAGTGTCATAGAAGGGCTGAGGATCAGGTTTGAAACGATGGAAGATAGTAGCATCAGCGAAATTGAAGACAAAAACCTGGACACAACTCTGAGGAAAAATCAGAAAAAAGAACAAAGAAAAGAAGAAACCTTGAGAATTATGTAGGAGGATACAATCAAAAGCAAAAATGTACAAGTGATCAGAGTTCCAGAACAGAGGGAGAAAACAGAAGACACAGAGAGGATCAGTGAAGAGTTGCTGACAGAAAACTTCCCCAATATCATGAAAGATGAAAAGGTGACCATCCAAGAAGCTCAACAAACCCCATATAAGATAGACCCCCGAAAAAAATCACCAAGGTGTATCATAATCACACTTGCTAAAACCAAAGACAAAGAATCCTGAGAGCAGCTCGAGAAAAGCAAAATGTCACATACAGAGGAGAAACAATAAGACTAAGCTCGGATTATTCGGCAGAAACCATGCAGGCAAGAAGGCAATGGGATGACATATATAAAACCTTGAAAGAAAAAAATTGCCAGCCAAGAATAATA